CCTTCCTTCCTTCCTTCCTCTTTCTTCTTTCAACAAGAAAGCCATTTGAGTTGTATATGAATGAGCAACATGTCCACGTGTGGTACACACCAGTTTATAGACCTTCTTCCTAAAGAAATGCACCATATGAATTAAAATGTATGAGTGAATTTGCCTGAATCAAATGGCTATCTTGTCCAAATTACTAGGGAACTGTGAATTCTGACTTAAAAAAAAACAAACCCGTGGCCTTACATTTTTGAGATGCTTCCCTGCCAAGGCAGCTATGAAATTTTTGCAGTGATTCCAGTCACTAAGCATTATGAATATATTGTATTTTCTGCAGTTGGATATCCTGTTTCCCATTGAAAATAAGCAGGCAGCATTACAACTCCAAGATTCCGGGCTGAACATAATATCCTTGTATGGCCATGCATAGTGTCCCCATACAAGCACAAGGACAGCGGGATAAGCTGCATACAGATTTGAGTTGTAGTTGGCTGTATTCAGTGTAATTAGTGGAACTGCACGATTAAACCTCCACTCTGTTTGGGAAAACAGGGTTGACAATAGCATTCACTAGAAAACTGACAACAAAATTTGCCAATCTATGTCCCACGTCACAATAGCAAACATGCAGTTTTACTGTAATAATTTTTGAAAGCGCTTTTTCCGGCACTCTACAATTTCTTCTTTTCCTGGGATTTAGTCCAACTTGATAGGCAAGAGAAAAGCCTAAGTATTCAAAAGAGTGAATCTCTTAATGTCCAGGAAGACTGTGCTCAGCCAGCACAGAGATCTTTTGTTTCTGAACAGTCCCTTCTCCCTTTCTGTTTTGGCAATGCTAATTTAAATCGTCCCCTAATCTGGAATGGGGAGAGAGCAGAAAGGACTAACATAAGATTGTGTATGAAAAGTTAATACAATAATTGCTATTGAATTAAGAGGCTATATTCCGTGGGATTCCACACTGGTCAGACTGATCCGGATGAAGCGGTGGACAGTTTGTCAAAATTTCAGCAATGCTAAATGACATGGAATTGTAACTCTGTTAAACAGTGGTAAGCATTTTGTGACCCTCCAGATGCTACTGGGTTGTAAGTCTCATGTTTCAGTATTAGTCATTGTGGCTCAGAAGCTGGAATTCAGCATCTGTAGATCCATGTGTTACCTATTTCTGCGTAGATCATGCATGCAAAACTATTCATTGGAGAGAGGGGTTGGGGGGAAAAAAGTACAAGGATAGAGATTGGATAGAGCATGTAATGGGGAACAAACATTAATCAAGAAGATGATACCAAGGCAAATAATTCAGGTTCCATCTTCAAGGAGAATAGTTTCCAAAATTTGAGAATGTTATTGCTCTTCCGGTTAACTTGAGGATGTCCATGCATGGAGATATGTCTTTTGGTTGGGTTGTCTGTTGTCTCAGAAAGAATTTTGACTACTCAGGAAAGCTTCATAGGGGGAAGATATCAAGATTAAGTATCTAGATAGGAAGGCTGAAGGAACTGAGCTAACAACATTCTAATAACATTTGGCATAGATAAGAAAAATATTGAATTTCAAACAGCAAGTGTAATATGCCATCAGCTAAAGCTTCATGAATACTGCATTTGTAATACTGGGTATAATAATGGTGGTCCTATTTCAAAAAGGATGTTGTGGCTGAAAAGTTACTGAAATCATTCAGTTTGTTGTAGCTCTGGCACAGGATTGCAGATAATAAATTGCAATCCACCGGACAAAGTCCCATGGAAAGCCATAGCTGAGCCATGGCTTGCTTTAAACAAATTAATCTGAACCAAATCAAAGCTTTTTCTGCATCTAAAGATACTAATGCAGCAGAGTCCATTTTATCCTTGGCTATATCCAACCTATCTGAATTATCTGATGCCTGAAGATTTTTGATAATTCCCAACTGGGAAGGATGAATTATGTCTGCTAAGATCTTCTCCAAGTGTCTAGCCAGTACAGTAGTTAAGATCTTGGTATCCACATTAATTAAAGAAGTAGGCCTATAACTGGCACAACATTTTTGATCCTTACCTGGTTTTAAAATCAATCTTATATATGCCTCATAAAGCGATGAGGGCAATTTACCAAACTTAAATTTTACCTCATTATACATCTCAAGTACAGGAGCCAATGACCCAGCGCATGCCTTATACCATCCCACTAAAAAGCCATTTGAGCCAGGAGCTTTACCATTATGCAACGATTCCATATGATAGATGTGGAAAGGATCATAATATTTTTTTCAGTCTTCCTGAATATGAAAGGGAGAGAAGTTTCTTCCCTTCTTACTGCTAATGAGGTTGCCTAATGAAGTTAATTTGCCACAAAAGAATGCAGAAAGTATTTTATCACACAGTGCCTAAGTAATTTCTAGGATTCATTACCGCATGACGAAGTGCTGGTTCTTAAAAGCTCATGAAAGACAGGTCCGCCAAAGACTCTGAACCATGAAAGCTAATGTCTAAATTGTCACATATTTAGGATTTTAGGAACAAACCATATTGGTTAGCATTGCCTTGCTGTCTATTAAGTCATGCTTGGAAATGTTTTAGATGGGGTGGCTGCCCGGTGGAGAAGACAGAAGGTGGACTCTCTGCTCTTCCACTAGCTTGTTTCATCCAGGTAGAATGGTTGTAGCAGTGGGTCCCAATGGGAAAGTAAAGAGAACAGAGAGGTTTCCAGGCAGCCCTTGGAATTAGAGCTGATCCTGATCATGACCTTCTCTTCCAATCCATATACCTTTGGATCAGATAACTGCCCTGCACATGCTGATGAAGTCAGGAGAGTCCTAGCATATTTTTATAGAGATGCTCACCAGCTTCATATACCTTTCTAGGGTTTGATGAACCTTGTTCAGGGAACTCTTTTTTAATGCTATAATATGTAAAAGAAAGGTGTGGTCTTTCTGAGCCTGTTACCTCCAAGCTCTGTTGGGACAACAAAAGCAGGATTCCTGGCCATCATGCGAATTCTGAGAATTGTAGTCCTAGGACATGGAGAAGACACCAGCTTAGGAAAGATTGCCCTTATGAGTGAGTATGTATATAGTATATGGGTGATCTATAGTGCCTTCTTTTCCAAACCATGTTGATAAATGTTCTAGTAGAAACCCTTCATGAACGAGTTCAGCCTCTTTATGTGTATTATGGGGATAATATTCCTAGGGTTATTTTCCTTCCCAGCCCTTAAATATAAATGGCAGGTTTTCTGCTAATTTCTGTTTAAGTTCCATTCTTTGTACATGTTTTTGTAAATAATTTTCACAAAAGCCAAAAAAAAAAAAAATTATTTATTTCAGCCTCTGTATTTCTTTTCTCAATCACATTCGGGGGGAAACAAAACAAAAAACCAACCAACCCACAAAGAAATCATCTCTCCTTTGAAGATATGTTGTTTCTTTATTTAATAAAATATTTATTAACAACTGCTGGTTAAATAAATAAATGAAAGCTTTGGGACTTTTTGTTTCCTTACAGCAGTGGTTTTTAGATGGTTGTTTGTACAAATCAATCAAATAAAACGTTGCCATTTTACGTGGTTTTAACATGAAGCCTCTCCTGTGATATTTTTATGTGGTTATTCTGTTTCCTTTTCTTCTTCACAGCCCCATCCTGTGAATGTTCCTTTTTGTTCAGTGGGCTTCATTGTCAGGGCAATGTAATCCTGTGGAAGATCTCAAAGAGCCACGGTCCGTGATGGCTACAGTTCTACATTTATATGCCTGAGAATAAGCTCCGTTCAACACAAGGAGATTTTCTTTTGAGTATATTTGCATGCAGGCGCTCTAGAAATGTTGAAAACTTGCTGGGACTCGGGTTTGTCTGGAAATAAGCTCTGTATATATGTTCTGCATTTGTTTGAAAACACTTATATCTTACTTTGACTCCCAGGTCTTCCAGATGGCTTATGACAACATAAATAAATAAACACAGCCCACAGCAAGGAAGATACAAAATGGTAAATGATGGGGGGGGGGGGGGGGATTCAGATGCAAAGTGGGACAGAAAAATTTACCCTAAGGCTGGGTTTGTTTATTTTATTGAGGAAAATGTTTAAATTGCCCAATAGCCAAAGCTCTCTGGACAGTTTATAATAAACACGTTAAAAAGATTTTGTATAAGATTTTGAATAAAAACATGCATAATACAACGCAAAATAAAAACATATAAACTAGGCAGCTGCAAGGCAGTCATTCAAAAGCTAAAACTATATGAATTAAAATATAAATAAAAACCAGTTAAGAAGCCTGGGAAAATAGGTCTTGACCTGGCACCAAAATGCTAATGTGGGTGACAGTTGGTCCAGTCTGTGGAGGGAATTCCACAAATGAGGTGTTGCCACTACATAAAAAGTTCTCCCCCTTGTAGAGGTCCACCTCACCTCCTTTGGTGAGAGGACCTGGAGGAGGGCCTCATTAGACAAGCTTAGAAAGTCCAGATCGGTCCATACAGCATGGCAGAAGATGCTCCTTCAAATAACCTGGTCCTAAGCCATTTAGGGTTTTCAAGGTCAAAACCAACACTTTGAATTGGGTCTGGAAATGGACCGACAGCCAGTGTAGATGGTGAAATACTGGTGTAATATGTTCATATAGGCCAATCTCAGTGAACAGTCTAGCTATTCTATTTTGAATTAACTGAAGTTTCTGGACTGTTTTCAAAAACACCCCGTATACAGCACATTGCAATAATCCAACTGGAAATTTACCAGAGCATGAGTAACTGTTGCAAGGCAGCCTTTATCCAGGTAAGGTCACAGCTGATAAATCAG